GAGCCCCGCATCGGGCTCCCTGCTCCGCGGGAAGCCTGCTTCTCCCTCTCCCACTCCCCCTGCTTGTGTTCCTGTTCTCGCTGTCTCTCTCTGTCATATAAATAAATAAAATCTTAAAAAAAAAAAAAAAGAACACAAGCTCATCATCTAAAGATGCATGTACCTCACATCGCCAAGGTGGGAACGGCTTTCTGACGCCTCTGTCCAGAATGTTAATTTTCCCAGAGCAGTTTAAGCTCCGTGCAAAATTAACCCCCAGATCTCTGCTCCCCCACCCCAGCCCAAGAAACGGCTCTTTCCTGAAAGAGGACTCTGCTGCCCCCTCAAGTTAGAGCCTCCCGCCTGTGTGCAGCTGGGGGTCTCAGCCTCCTCGTGGGCCACTCTCTAGGGTGGGAGGGTCAGTGAGAGCCTGGGGCTCCCCTCGACCCTGGCAGGGCCCTACACCTGTCAGCAGCCTCAAGAGGGGGCGGCTGTGGCCTGAGCCCAGGGGCTGGTTATTTTTAAGAAGACAGTGGCAGCTGGGGTGTCCAGAAATAGGCACCCAAATTAGCCAAGACACCCCTGCCCAGAAACCCAAGACGCGGGGAGGGGGGCTGTGAGGGGAGCCGCCGGCTCAGGTCTCCTCCTGGCCAGCTCCCCAGCCCCCGGCCCCCGCAGGTGTCCCAGGCCCGCCAGAGCTCCTGCATCTTGCTCTCCCGCCTTCTGGGCTGTAGTCCAAGGGCGGGGCCCCAGGAGGACCCCCATATCCCCAGGCAGGGTGCCCGGAAGCCCCTTTTGTGAGTCAGGGCAGCAAAGCCTCACCGACGTGGGGGAAGCTTCCCCAGGATCCTGCCCCTCTGCCCAGTGGAGCCCCGAAGGTTCCACCACGGGGTGGCCCCGTGCCCCCAGCTCGCTGTCTGTCGGGGAGGGGCCGGGGTGGGGTGTGCTGGAGGGCAGGGGGCAGCATTTCGACAGCTGGGAAGGAAGTCAGTTGTCCATTTCGTGCTCTGCCCTCAGCGTGGAGTGGGGGAGGGAGGTAGAGTGAAAATAGCTCCTGAGGTCAGAGCTCCTTGGAGACGCACACCCTCCTTCCCTCCTTCCCAGGTGACACGATGGGGTGGGGAGGGCGGGAGGCCCTGCCCCCCACCGGCTGGGGGCCCCTGGCTGCGTCACCCGGCACAGCCTCGGCCCCCATCCTGCCCTGCAGGGGCTCCTTGCCCGGGTCTCCCCCACGATGGGATGGCCGAGGGCATCCAGAAGGAGCCGGCAGGGGAGGCGCGGGGAGGGCGGGAAGGGCAAGGAGTGTGGGCGGGGCCTCTGGGGCGCAAGTGCCCTCCTCCGTGGGCAGAGGTGGGGGACAGATCCCAGGTTCCCACTCCGTCCCCGGCCTGGCCCTGTTTGCTCCTGTCCTTGACCTCTGGGAGCTGTCCCCGAAGCCCCCAGCCGCCTCTCCCCATGGAACCGCTCCTGGGGTCAATTACACGAGACCCCTCGTGTTTGGTTCTACAAATGCTGGGTTGGAGGCTATGACCACTTGAGGCCAAGAGCCCCCCACTTCTGAGGGGAGCTGGCCTCGGCCCCTGAGCTTACTGGAGCCCCGTGGAAAGGCCCAGATGGCCCCGGGGGCGAGCCAGGACCCTGCACCGGGCGGCCCTCTGAGCTGTGGGCCGTGTCCTTCCTGGGCTCTTCATCTCGACACCTGCACCTCTCCCCAGCCCTCCGCCCTGCTTCCCTCCAGGGAGCCCCCACCTGCCTCCTCAGGCCTCCCCGGCTGCTGGGCTGTGGTTTGGAACGGCTTCCCCATGTTCGGGTCGGAGAGCATCACCCTCCATGCCAGCACCCTTGGGACCTGGGGGTGGCTCTGTGGGTTCTCCAAGCTGCCGTGCTCAGAGCTGAGACATGTGGGAACATGGTGTCCTGGACCCTCAGCACCCCGGGACCCCAGATGCGCCTCGAATGTTGGGCCGGCCCTGCCCAGCCCTGGGCCATACTGACCTGTGGCTGAGTCTGGAGAGACGGGCTGGAGCTCCCTGTGGACAGGACCGGCTCGGGCACTGCCCGCTCTGCTCACGAACTCATGTTATAGTGACATTCGATCTTGCCCAGCAGCCCATTGGCCAGGGGCTGGGTGGCTGGGCGCCTGGCGCAGGCAGGAAGGGGCTGTGCCCATGAAGGCCCCTTACCAAGTATAGGAACAGCCGAGGAGGGGGCCTGAGGAGGTGAGGGTGGGGGGACGTGTGTGGAGAAGGAGACAAGGAAGAGTGTCAGCTTCTATTTTTACCACCCCACCCCCGACAGAGGGCACATTCCTGACGGGCTGAGGAGGGCTGACAGGACCAACTGGGTGGCCCGGGGGATGCAGCCCAAGTCTCTCTGTGGGCTGGGCTGCTGTGGGGGCCCCTGCCTGGGGCCCCGACTCCCCCAGCCCCGCCGCCCTCCCTGCGCGGTATTTGGGGTGTGCGTCCTTTGCCGCAGGCCCACCTGCCTCCTCAGTCAGAGCACGTGGCCCGAGGTCCCGGAGCACTCCGTGGAGTGGAGGGCTCTGTGAGTCCTCGGCCAGGCATCTGTCACGTCTGAGCCCTGCTTAGTGACCAGACCTGGAGCCTACAGGACGGATGGGCCAGAGAAGTAACAGCCCAAGCAGGATCTCGAGTGCTAAGGGTCCTCATCGCCCCCAGTGGCTGGCCCTCCGCAAGGCCAGGGCTGCTCCTCTGCCATCAGCCTGGGAGCTCCCCATCTGGGGGTCCAGATCCTGGGGACCTCTCCCCCCATGGCCAGGCTCCACGTGCCGCTCACCACACGCTCCATCCTCTGCCGGCGGAGCCTGGCCCTTCTGTCCGCGGGACTCCAGGCGATACCATCCACCCGGCAGACATCTCGCCCAGGCCTCTGATGGTCCCCTTGCTTGGCCTTCGGATTAGGGAAACCGAGACTCGGAGAGGGGCTGGAGCCGTTGGGCACCTCTTTCCAGACCCGAGGACTCCAGGCAAGGGGCTGCCGAGCACAGATGGTGGGGTCTGTGGGACGGCTTGGCCCAGGGCAACAGCTGGTGGGCCCGCACACAGAACAGGGGTGAGCCCTGGGGAGATGCAGATGAGGCCCCTGCCCTCTGGAGGCTTCGAGTCAGGGACGACAGCGTGACCGGCAGGAGACTCACACGCCCCAGCCCCAGCTCCATGTGGCTCCGTGCCTGCTCTGGGTCCTCAGAGGCTTCTGGAAGGGTTCCACAGTCCCTCCATGTTGGAGATAAGGCCACAGGGACCCAAGACAGGAGAGGCATGCCCACAGCCACACAGCGAGGGGACAGAGACCCTCGTCCGCCCACCTCCCCGAGGCCCGAGCTGCTGGGGACGGCCCTGCCCTCCTGTCTGAAAGCTGTTCTCTCCAGCTGCCCAGGTCCTCGGATGGGCAAGGGCTTGACGGGCCACATGCCGCTGACCCTTGGCCAACTCTGCCCAGTGGGACCACCTGAAGAATCCCTTCCAGGGGAGGTCCCCGAGGAGCTCCTGGGGGCCCACCATGCCTCCTCCCCATGGTGGGGCTTCTCGCTCCGCTCACAGAGACCTGAGGACACCCCACCCCCAACATACACACACAGACAGATGGGGGCACACACGTGGGGACAGCACATTCGGGAGCATTTGTCCTCGTCAGTAGGCCATGCTGGAGTCTGGCCCGGGAAGCCCCGTGCATGCCCAGCCCCGCTCAGACTGCGGGTGCCCGGCTTCCGGGAGCTGCCGGCTGCCCCTTGCCCAGGCCGGGTCGTTCTTAGGAGCTTCACCTGCAGATGGGCATATGCCACAGGCCCTGCAGTGGCCCTGCTCGGCCAGCAGAGGAGGGTGCCTGCCCGCTCAGTGGCCTCGGCCTCTGGCAGGTGCTCTCCCTTGAATGGGCCGAGCCAGAGAGCGGGCGCTGAGGTCAGAGGAATCGCACAGGTTTTATTTTGGGTATCCATGACCTCCTCCTCGGGGCACCAGGCCCGTGATGCAGCGGGACAGTATTGAGCCGGCACCGCTGGACAGGCCACAGGCCTCCGAGAGCCTTCGACAGGTAATCCACACCCCAGTCCACCTGGCCTGGCCCAGGCGGGGTGGGAGGAAAAGGCAGGGCAGGAGCCTGCCCTGGGGGCTGGAGGGGGTCTGGGGACCTGGGGTGGAGGCAAGGAATAGGGGTGGCCCAGCCCTGGTTGGGGTGGAGGACTGATCTCAACCCCAGAAAGGGGTTGGCTAGGGGGACCTCAGGGACAGTGCGGCCCAGGGACGGTGGAGGGTGCGTTCTAAAGCCAGCAAAGCTGAGTGAGGCCACAGAGTATGGGGGAAGCCATGAGAGGGAGAGGAGGCCCCCCAAAGATCTTGACTCCAGCTGTCTTCAGGGGTGACCCCAGAGTGGGGGGGAGAACAGGCTCCCCCCCAGTCTGGGTCCTGGCCCCCAGCTTGCATGGATGGGGGTGGTGGGGCCCCAAGGGACCTTGAACGGGTCCTGGGCGCCCACGCTTCTGCCAGCCCCACAGGCTTGGGCTCTGCCAGGCCCCAGATAGAAGCTGCTGACACAGCACTTCGGGGACAATCCTGCCCCAGCCCTGTGCATCTGCCGCACCACACGCCTTGGGTGCTTCTGCACCATGGTAGCTCACTGGTTTGCTCCTTTTGGGGGGAGCATTTGGTGCTTGGGACAGGGAGTGATGGGGTAGCCGGGGATCTCAGGCAGGCAGCACAGAACAGAGGGGCAGTGCTTGAGCATCCCAGGCCAGGTACCCCTCGGGCAGTGGCCCTTCTGGTCCTCTGGACCCTTTAGGTGGGCATGTCCTGGCCCGAAGGCTCTGAGGGGTGGAGGCTTGACATCACGGCAGCAACGGGGTCAGCGGTTCTCACAGGAGTCAAACCCTGGATCCTCATCCCCGAGGCTGGGCTGGGGTGCTGAGTATTCTGAGAGGGGCCCCGGTGGGTCAGGGCAGGCTGGCTACCTGGCATAGTTCACCCCATCCGCCTCACATCCCACGGGGCCATCCACTCTGGTCCCGGCTCAGTGCCCAGCCATGGATACCGTGGCCACCTCTGCGGCTGCCCTTGGCGGACATCCCATCCGGGCTGGGTGGGAAGGGAGAGAGCGGCATGTGCCCTGGGAGATGCTCCCTAGCTGGTAGAGCATGGCCCTGGATGCAGTCTCCGGGGTAGACCGTGGGTGAGAAGAGATGGCTGTGGCTTCGTGGAGTTTTAACACTCCTGACTTGCCCATATTTACTCTATCCTCGGGGAGGCAGGCAGACTGTGACCCCGAAGACTTCAAAAAACGTACATTCTGAGCAGAGCCAGGCCTAGAATGCCAGAGGTCCAGTGGTCCTGCTCTTCGAAAGGGTTCCCCAGACAATGAGGCCATCCGGGCTCAGGGCTGGGGAGCATGGTCGTGCTCTCCCCCTTCACACTCTGGTCCACTCCCCCACCCGCCCACCCACCCATTTGTTCCCATACATGCATTCTCATATTCACTAGTTTCCTTCTTTCCTCCCTTCCACTGTCCATCCAACCGGCATCCAGCTATCCACCAGCACATCCACCCACCCAGCCACCCAGCCACCCAATGTCCGGCGCACACCGATCCAACTGCCTCTCCACCTCTTCTCCCATTTACTGTTCTCACAATGATTTTTCTGTCCATCTACCTTCTGTACATCCACCCATGTACCCATCCATCTATTCTTTATCTACCCATCCATCCATTACCCAAGATTCATCCACCCATCTTTCTATTTATACATCAATCCATCTATCCATCCATCTCTCCATCCCTTCACCCATCCATCCATCCACCCATCTATCTACCCACCCTCCCATCTATTATCCATCCATCCACCCATCCATCCATCCACCCACCCATTCATCTACCCACCCTTCCATCCATCCATCCATACTCCCATACATCCATCCCTCCACCCATCATCCATCATCCACATCTGTCCATCCACCTTAACATCTATCATCCCTCCACCCATCCACCCACCCACCCATCCATCCATCCATCCATCCATCCATCCCTCCACTCATCCATCCATCCACCCTTCCATCCATCCCTCCACCCTTTCACCCATCCACCCATCCCTCCACCCCTTCACCCATCATCTGTCCATCCATCCCTCCATCCATCCACCCATCCATCCATCTATCCATCCATCAATCCATTCTTCCACCCATCCATCCATCTACCCATCCATCCATCCTCCACTCCTTCACCCATCATCCATCTTCTACATCTGTCCATCCATCCTTCCAACTATCATCCCTCCACCCA